TGCTGCTGGCCCTTTAAGAACCATCTGGGGACATGCTGTGGAGTTACTGGGTGGCCACCATTTCCTGTATCAGAAGCACATGGTGAGAACAATGGATGGCGGCCATTTTAACTCACAGACACTGTTTGGACTTTTCAACACGGTGCCATCTCGCCAGTATTTGTTGCACAGAGACATCGTGCGGTGGTTTTGGACTATACAGCAGGGGACACATTATACAGTGATTGTTTTTCATTTAGCCTGTATATGTTCTGCAGAATCTGCATTGAACTGTATTTTCCAGAGTGCTGAACGGATCTGGGTGAATTTTGGATGTGTGGTTCACCCAGATCCCTCGGTTCCAAGGATGTACTTTTTATGGGGTTGTTGCATGTTTTGGGGTCCCTGTGATGTATATTTTAGAAGTTATGAATGCTGTAAAAATTGTGGTGTTTCTGGCCAGCGGATGGTTGGGCTTTGTGTATTGTGGAGACTCGGTTGTCTGGCCTGGCCCGGAGGAGGAGTTTTGTGTTGCGTGGATTGTGAGTTCTGTGTGCCAGTGGATCAGTCTTGTTCCAGCACTAAGCTTTGGCTCATGTGTGGATTATTCGGCGATTCCAGGGATATTTCTGCTTATGGAATATCGAGTGCTTTTCTTTTATGGGAAGAAGGGAATGCTTGATGGGGATATTTTCTACTACCGTCACAGTGGGTAACCCCCCCTGGGGCTATGCAGTTTTTGTAAGTGTTCCGTGCTGCCCAGAGGTAGCGCAGTTGGTAAATAACCTGACAACAAGTCTGTTCAAAGGCAGGTCACTGTTAAATCCCGGCAGGGTCATTTCGGCCATTCATACTTATATAAATGTATATACGCCAATACTACTCACCTACCTATTTGGTTAATTTTTGGAGATGTTTAGTGTTCTACCTAGGGGAGTTTTTGCTGCATGCAGGCGGCCTTTTCACTGGGCCATTTCACTCAGAACCCGTTGCTTACCGGCTGGACCTACCATCCGCCTACCCTGTCGTGCTACTCGTTTGGCCTACCTGCCTTTACATCTATGATGAGCCTGTCTTGCCCGTGAAACATGGATTGGCCTGCTTTGACCTTGCCCCATTGATTGGCCTGCTTTGACAGTGCCCCATTGATTGGCCTGCTTTGACAGTGCCCCATTGATTGGCCTGCTTTGACCTTGCCCCATTGATTGGCCTGCTTTGACCTTGCCCCATTGATTGGCCTGCTTTGACTGTGCCAGAATGCTGAGCCTTGCTGCTACATACTCACACTTGGGCATTGCATGCGCTGCCAAACTTGCCTCCGTCACTATATGGGGTTCTGCCCCGATGTTTCTGCTGGTGACACTGGTTCTTTATACTCCTAGAGGTCACTGTAACGGATCACCTGGCACCCCGACTGGGTACCTCCGTTGAAGGATGCTCCTATCGCTTCCTGAGGACTCCAAGCACTGCAGCAGACACCACAACCACCGAAAAGCATACAATCAGCTTACACTCTGGCAATCAGCATACAATTTAATTCCCCCAATAACGATACAACACTTCGTTTTGAGGTCAAGCAGAACTGATTTACTGGGGCTACCTGCCTGGCTTTTATGCAGGTCTCCCAACCTGGTGGACACTCCCCTAGGGGACCAAATGGAAGACTGGGAAACATATTGGACATTGACCAATAACAAGCTTACAATCCCACAATGCATCACAATCCCTCCTCTCTGTCCTGGAGATAATTGGGAAGTAATCCAATTATCTCTAAGGACAGAGGTAAAACTCCATTAACCACATGGCAGACAAAGGACAATAAAAGACATAAAAATACATACTGTTACATTTATCAAATAGAACATACACATTCTACCTATCCCCAGATAGCTTAGATCTGAGCGCACATTATTACCGGATGGCGCTCAGATCACATACATACAGTTCAATCGCCATGGAGCCAAAGTCTTTCATACAGTCTTTCAGTATACGGCTGGGTTCCATGGCATAGCTATCTGGGGTAGCATGGCTTTTAACAGTCTGCAGAAAGGCACAAACCAGCCTTTCTGCAGGGAAAAAGAACAGTGTTAAACATGGGGCCATAGTCCAGTGGCAGGAGGCGGGTGACCAGGCTCCTCCTGTGGCCAGTGGCGAGGTTGGTTCCGCTACAGTCACTTTGCCTAGGACCGCTCTGCGGGTGAACCCTTTATCCGGGGGAATGAGCACAGACTATGACTAATACGCTAGCGACCACCTTTTAAAAGGCAGGCGACTTGAATAAGTCAGACTCTCCCTACTGGAAGGGTGAAGGCCCTGAACCAGGCGCCCGGACAGGTAAGGCTACGGAGAAGCGTCTAACCCCCGATACAATTGGCCTCGATGGCCTGACGGCACTGCCTAGGTGGCGCAGGGGAGTCAGTGACCACCAGACGTGGCAGTGGCCACCTTCTTAAAAAAGGCAGGCGACTTGAATGAGTCAGACTCTCCTAGAGGAGAGCAGACAAGTGCGCATTAGCGCTACTGAAAGGGGGAAGGCCTTGAACCAGGCGCCCGGAAAGATTAGACTCCGGAGAAGCGTCTAGCCCCGATGCGATCGACCTCGACGGCCAGAGTACACTGCCTACGTGGCGCAGGGGTGAAAGTCCCCGTAACCCATCCCCCCCCCCCACCATGGCCGCCCTAGCTGAATGGCGGGCGGACTGGTCCCCCTCGGAGGGAGAGGACGATGGGGGTGGGGACTATGATGACGTCCCCAAGTGGCACCGTGAGACGGAGAACAAAGCCCACCACAGGGGCGCCGACGAACGTGGAAGAAGAGGTTGTCTCGTGGGTCACCTTAAACGAACCCCTGTTCGACCCTCGACCCATTGATCACCTGGGTTCTTTGTAAGGGTCTCTGCCCGAGCACCTAGCACCATCGGAGCGTTTCTGGATCCGTAGACCGCTGGCTTGAGAAGCCCGCAGGATACTTGGAGCGGTATACCCAACCGGGCTCCTGAACAAGGTAAGCCTCATACTCGGACCTAGACCCCGATGGGGTGCTGCGGCTTTCCTGGTTAAAGCGCCTGACTATTATACAGGAGATCCTGAGTGCGGCCCGCTGCAGTGCCTATTCTCTACTTTTAAGTTCGCACTGGCAAGCCGATTGTTCTCCTCTACATGAGTGAGTTGTGCTAGCGGGACATATGAGGAAGTATATTAGGTGTCCAGTTTTTATATGAAAAAAAACAAAACAAAAACTTTACGGAGGCATATCTAAAGCTCCAACATTTGCCTCCACCTTCGGATGACATACCAGACGGGACCCCAAATCTGAGGATTGCAGGTGACCCTATCTTAATCACAGTTTGGACCGCTGGAGGTGCTTGGGATTAAGGGATCTGAGCCCTTTGGAGCCCCCGCATGAGACTACGCTTGAACGTATATCCATTAGTTACTTTGAATTAGACGCGGTCCTCAGGGAACTTCTAAGGACCGCGGGCTCCATTCCTGGTAAGGCAGGCTCAATTTTCTCCCTTGCGAGATGAGTATCTGGGGCATCATTCATTTGGACGATAATACAGCCTGGTTGGCAGGTTTGGATGAATTTAGGACATTCAGAAATACCAGAACTATTTGAAGATATCCTTCTCGTTTTTCCACGCAGGACCCAGACGCGGCACTTCCCCAATATACGACGTTTCGCTGTACGGTCTACCCCGACAGGCTTGCTGGACCCTCCACGAGGTACCTCCCAGACCGAAAGGTCAGGCGCTCTCTGCGTTTCCCCTTTGGGTCCCTGGATTTCGTGTTCAACCGAGGAAATATCGACCCCCTCTACATCTCGAGGAGTAGAGTCCTGGAGGGCGGATTGGACGCAAGGGGGTGCCTCCTACGCCTTCCTCTACCCGAGTTCTCGTACGTTTGGAATAGGTTTTCCGGGAGGACGCGGCGTCAAGACTTTAGTCCACGGAGGAGGACCCATCAGGCCCGACCAGTTCAGCTGGCTTACAGACCCGTTTGCTCAGTGATGGACGCTTCCCTCCAGGGGTGTTCGACATGGACGAGTCTCCTCCGTTTGTTTGATCCCAGGACCTTACTACAGGTGTCTCAGTCTGCTGGTACTTTGGTATTATGGCCTCCTCTTCAGCCGGGTCGAAACTAGTGTCCTGGATTCCCTGTCCCATTTCATCTCGGGGACTGTAAGACGTTTGTCTGCATGGCGACCCTGACGTAGTTCAGTCTGGTACGGATTGCCAGAAATTTTTGCAAACGCTGTTACAGGGTTTGAGAATTGTTTGGTCACTTTATTGACCGGAGACTGTCGTATCATTTAGATTAGGTAGTGCGTACGACTGTTTTCGGCAGGCCTCGCTCGGCTTCGAGCAAGACGTGCGGGTTCATTGGGGTGTGAGTCCTTTACGATTCCTGAGGACAGGTATTCATCTCCCCAAGGGGTACACGCATTTTTTTTGTCGTGCTTCAATTATCGGTTTTCGTCTGGTTTTTGTCCATTCACCGATTCTGGATTTGTTTCCTTTATATATTTTTTTTTTTTTCTTTATTTTTGTAGTGCATAAGCTGATAACATGTTGTTGCGAGGTATCCCAAAGGCATTCCTCCAATGCAAAATAGACATTTGAAACATAGAGGTACATACAAAATCAAGCACAATTTTTATATTTAGAGATAGTTTAGGTAATAAACAGTAGAGGGTCTAACAGCTGAGTCTGTCTCATAACTAACGGAGTATCACTGATATGTCTAGGCAGCTAGTTTTGAGCATCATAGAGTGGTATTCGATCTGTGATATACAGGCTTAGTCTAGCTTTTATGTCAGATAACAGGCAGGATTGTAACACTGGCCCTGGCTATCTACACTACTGTTCTCCTACTGTATTAATCGCAGTAGCAGGGGTTATAAAAATGAAAATAAACAGTAAAATTAAGATTAAGCACTAGCAATATACTTTTCAGGACTTTTACGAGTACCCTAGGGGTTGCATGCTAGGGGTGGTAGAGTCCTCTGTATAGCTGTGTGTTTAGCCAATTCCCCTTTGGGGCCAAGCTGCATTTTGCCCCAAGAGTCCCGCACTATTCCTTTTGCCCTTGTACTGCCAGTCCCAAAATCCTGAACATCGCTGCATCTTGGCTGTTGTCGGGTAGCGAGGATCTCTTCCTGGGCCTTGTCCCCTGTGTCGCCTTTGTGCCTGTAGTTGGTGCTGTGGCGTGTGCCGTCTCCGCCAGGATGTATTGGGAGCGTGTGGTCGGTATGAGCCGGGCTGGCGTGTGGTGGAGCTGCGGTAGGGTTGGCGAGCAGGCCTGCGTGCCCGGGTGAGTGTGGGTCTAGGGCGGCTATGCGTGCGCCAGTTCACCTTCTGGGAGTTGGGTAGCGTCGACTGCTTTGTGAAGGTAGGAGATTTTGGTGTGGCTCGCAAATGCAGCTTACCCACCAGCTTCCTCCAGAATGCCTCGAAGTGGTCGCGGATTCGCCTGAGGATATCTCGTGATGCGTCTGTCGGGATATCAGCGCTTGCCTCTCCCGCCATTATAGGTATGTCTCTGCTGTCCTGTCTTGGCGCTTTTTTGCTTCTCCGTTTGCCCGGGGTAGCCACCCCTGGATGGACCGGGATTACCCCCGCCGGTCGGGGGGGGAAGTACAGGGCTTTCTTGTGCTGTGGGCAGCCGCAATGTGCCTCAGGGCTGAGGGAGCGGCCGCCTCCCCCGCCCGTCGCACACCAGGCCGCAGTGTCTGTCGTGGTTCCTGCTGGTCCCAATCGGGTCGCCCGGCGTCCCATCATGTGCCCCCTGTTGTGGGTGGCAGGAGGGTGCCTGGGGTTTCCGCTTGTGTCGCATGTCGGGGCCTTATTTTTTCTTGTTTCTCCAAGTTTGTGCGGGAGCTCGTGGAGAACACGTCTCTCTGCCATGCTGGTCAGGCCCCGCCCCCCTTGTTTCCTTTATTATACCTTGTTTTTTCTTTCAGATGGGATCGGATCTTCGGGCCTTAGTTGTCTATCGCTTCTAGTCGGACCCGAGGGTTATTTTCTTATCTTGGTTGCGCGTCCCTCCTTTATGCTGCGTTCGATGCCACCGTTTGTTTACACGGTTCTTTGCCTTTTTTCGCCCTTCATGTACCGCTCGGTTGTTGTTGGCATTGGCGGCGGATATACGTCTTTTCAGTTCATTTCAGTCGGTAACACAGCGACTTCAGGCACCGACATGGTGGGCGCATTTCTCCAAGACATCGTACACTTTCCTGCCGGTTACGAGGAGCTATCTTTGCAAAGTTTAGGTTGGTACAGCGGATCGTGTTTCTTTGGTCTTTGCAGTCTCTGAGCGTTAAAACAGCAAATATGAAGCCTCCTGTTATGTTATAAAATTGTAGATTATACTAGCTTTAGTGTATCTATAATCTTAATTTTATTAATGACGGGGCGAATATTTCCCTCCCAGTTTCTCCCTCCCCTTGTTTGTTTGTTGGTTTGGCTGACCTATTGTTTATTCACCTGGTCTCCTGGGCTAGGTTTGTTAGGCTGGGGAAGTTGGGGTTATCTGGGATATGGTATCGTCAGTATTTTATGATGGGGATTCATGTTTTTCTCAGTACCTGGGATATTGTACTGTCGGTATTTGATGATGGGGATTCATGTTTTTCTCAGTACATTTCTTTTGCTAATCAGTATTTTTGACTCTGTTTATCTCGTTTCAGTTTAAGGGTCGGCTACAGTTCTTAGATCTACAGGATAAAGGTCAAGGCTTCATACACTGGTTCCATGTTTTCAATTTCAGATGGCATTCATTGTTGTTAGGTTTGTTTCTCCTGTTATTGTATTGGTGGTGTATTGTTCATGTACCTTATTTTGTTGCAGCGTGAAAGTGGAAATGGTTGGGAGCCTTTTATGGATTCCTGACTTTTTTGTCTTTGGTGTTTTTCTCTCTCTGTTAATGTGCTGCTGTGGAGTTCTAGTAAAGAGAGACTTAAGCAAATACTCGCCTCCTGTCATTAATAAAATTAAGATTATAGTTACACTAAAGCTAGCATAATCTACAATTTTGATTTACCCATAATCCACTTAGAGGTTTTACTTACTACACTATTAGTTCCTCCTACTTTTGTCGTTACATATACCTCCATAAGCACCTTCTGTGTTACCCTACTTCCTATTGGATAAGAGAGACTTGTATTTTGTGATTTGCACTGAATCAGTTTTATAAAAGCTCTGATTTTTTAGTTTTTATCTGCTTTAAAGGAACACTGGGCAAAAACATTACTTAAGTGTATCTATATAGTAATTAAAAGTCGCTGTAGTGTAAACGAGTACAAATAATAAAAGGACAGGGATTGGCTGCCAGACAGAGTGAAGTCAGCACCTACCACATACCACAAGTGCCATAATCCTAGGAAATTGCTTTCAATAATAACAAACAGCAATCTGGCAGAGCATTTCATTTTATTAATGTTGCTACTCATGTGGCAGGCAAGACATTTAAAGCCTGACCCCCTCCTCCCCCCCTTTGTTCCATATCTTTCCGCTCAGCCAGTCTCTTGTCTTTCTTACTATCTGACTCACGCTGCACATATACCCCAGCATTCTGTGTCTTTCCCTCTATTTTTTTAACACCCCTTCTAACTTTCAGAGTCCAGTAGGTGAGTATAATCCGTGACAGTCTGGTTGCCTAATTCACTGTGTGCTGGAATGCAAAGCAGTGCATTCTGGGATCTGCACAAACTTCCTCATTATACAACGAGGTGGCACAAGGAGGTCTTTTAACCCCTGAGGAGGCTGGATGCCCTGAGGCGAGTTTTCCACCACCCTGCAACACAGCTAAAACACAAAACATAGGTTTACTTTACCAAAATAAGGAAATGTAACTATAACGAAGGTTTCTCTGGATCCTATACTGTGTGTGTGGTTGACCAGAGTTTGAGAGATTACCAGCAGGTGGAGGACAGACCGGAGAAATCGAGCAATCTGTTCTATTCAGGTGAAAGAAAAGCAAAGTGTCATTACCCACAATCCTTAGTCCTCATCGAGTGGCTGACAGGCTGCTAGGGACCAGAGAGCTGTCTGCCTGCACTTGCTGCTCCTTCACAACTGGATCTGAGAGAGGCGAAAAAGAACATTAAAACAACTGATCCTGCCATCACTAAACAAACTGGGGTATGTACCCCAAAAATCAAGCAACACAGATGCATCAAAAACACTAAGAAATTGAGACAACTTCAGATATTGTCTCTCTCCTCCCTCATGTGCTCCCACTCACATGGAAACAAGCCCTGGATTTCTGCACTTACAGAAGTAAGGGTGCTCCATGGCCTCCCGTGCCGTCAGTCTCTGCTGATGGTCGTAACGCAGTAATTTATCCAACATGTCCAGAGCCTCTGCACTCACTAGGTGTCTGTTCTCACTGTGCAGAAAGTTCTCCCAGCGTTTCCGTGAGTGCCTTTAGAAGGGGTGGAGGGGTATAATGTCAATGCATCTTACACCAGCTGGTTACCCAGCCCAACCTCCTAAAACCAAGTTAACAGACATTACTCACTGGCCAAGGATGTCGTTAAAGTGAGGATCGAGCTCTATGTGATATTTCTTAAGGTATCCAAATAACTCATCAGTGCCCAGCACTTTGGCAATCCTTACCAGCTGCAAAACAAGAGATAAATTCTATTCAATACATAGTTGCAACTGCACGTGTAAACAATGTATCTCATAAATCACTTCCAACTATTAGCCTGCACGTACCATCATCACTGGGAAGAACCATAGATGATTATACTGTAAAGACCTATAATCTCTCAATATGGCTTCCCCGAGACCTGGCTGGCACCCTCCAGCAAAGTTGGAGTGCAAGATCCAGTGGTATTTCCAGGTTTTCAGCTAGAATCTTAGCCGTGGCCAGTCAAAACACCAACCAAGTGTTGTTTCCATGCCAGACTTTTGATCAGGGCACTATTTGCACAGTGTAAGGAAACCAAGTATATTTAAACCTCATTCGGTAGTTTCCTCCCGAACCGCCAGAGCCTTAGTGATTATAGCCCTTCGTTCGGTAGATAGGGTAGACGAATCCTATAGCAATCCCAATAGCTTCACAAGATGATTCCCTTAGTGAAACACACAAATCCCCAAACATCAGCCGAAGACAAGAAGAAGGGTACAAAATTAACTGTCCTTTAATGTGCACACAGCTTTTATGCAAGTCCTCATGCAAGGGGACAGCCCTCAGGGATGGACAAACATTAACCAATCACATACAGTAAAACTTTAACACACACCTACAATTCCCTTCCCTAGCCCAGGAGATAATTCAGTCTGATAAAATAGTAACTTAATTATCTCCGGGCTGAAAAATCACCTTTTCCCCAATATCTAGAACACCCCTTTATACTCGAGGTATCCTCACAAATTATATGTCCCCTGATAGCCCTGATCTGGGTGACCAACATATCCGAATTTCACCCAGATCGGTTCAGGGGTTTGCAAAAACTATGGAAGTCTCTTGTGACCGGCTCCCCCTGGGCCGTATGCCCAAAACAGTTCCATGAATTTGGTGGGTTTTGCCGGTCACTTTCGAAAAAGCCTCAAAATGAACAAAATATCGAATGGACCCCTCTGGCTCCTAGCAGCGTTCGAGCCCCTCTGTCAAATACACCAAAGTACCGAATAGCGCTCTGCTAGCTATTCGGTAAATAGAGTTCCAGCGTTCGTCTGTTTGGGACTGGTGTTCGGGAAGTCGAGTGTCCGTTTTCAGTTCCATGCACTCGACGACCAGGTCCCGCTGTCTTTGTTCGCATGAACACAGATGGCCGCGGTTTTCTCTGCCACGTGGTGTTCGACTGACGAACGCTGGCCGCACATACAGAGGTAGCAATTTCACCCAAACTTTTATGTTTAATATGCCAGAGGGGTGGTCTTTATTCGGTAGTTATATCTACCGAATGCAATGGGCAGACATAGAGTAAAAAAAAGGGAATGCAATGGGTATATAACATAGGGAACAGGGGATTTCTACACACACAGATTGGGAGCTCTGGGATGAGCTATCTGGTTATACCATGTGTGTATAGGTTCTTAATGTTTTCAATGTGTTTTGGGGTGTATCTGTGCATGGGAGAATTAAATTCGCAGAGCATGTCGCAGTCCTCTCCAAGACACAGAGGCGCCTGGGTGAGCTTACTCTGTTTTCAATGAAGACGCCATAAAGGGGGTCTATGTATATAAACCAGCAATTTCCTAAATAAAGTGTTCACTATTTTTCACCCTTCATCAAGTTTTGGCTGATGTTTGGGTGACAGCTATAATCACCAACTACTTAGCGGGATTAGGGAGAGGTTCTTAACTATATGGTTATAATATATTTGAATCATGAAAATTTGTATTTTCCTTTAAGAACTATAAGAGAGATGATAAAAGACTTTGGTCACGTGATTGCGATCTGCCGCGATCATGTGATATTCCCCAATGATCTTTGGGAAATATATGCTAGGCAAGGGGGTCGGCGTGAGTAGGCACGCCCCCTTAGCTAACTGGCATAGATAGATTGGGCGGAGTATTTACATTTTTAAAAAAATTTTAATGCATTTAATATTAACTATACAAACAATAATAAAATAGAGTAAAACAATTTTTTTTTAATATATAATATTTAAAAAATGAATTTTGTTTATAAAAAATAATAAAAAAATTAAAAAGATCAAATTCAGCATTGAGTCCTTCTGGGGAGAGGGTTTTAAGTTGGAAGACCCAATACATTTCCCTTTTTCCTAAAATTTTTGTCATATCTCCGCCTCTCCTGGGAACAGTGACTTGTTCTATCCCGATAGCTTTTAAAAATTTCGGGTCTTTATTATGTGCCAAAAAAATGTTTTGAAACTGAATGATTTTCATACCCTCTTCTAATGTTTCGGCAATGTTCCGCCAGTCTGATTTTCAGGCATCTTTTGGTCATGCCTATGTAACATATCGATCACATTTTTGGTGTTACAGCCAATGAAATCTTTGATTGGGTATAATGTTTTTGTAATTGTGGAGGAGAAGTGGGTGGTTTTAGACTTGACAGTTGGGTCTGTAGTTTTACACACACTACATTTATTACACTTAAAAAAACCTTTCGGCTTAGATAAAAAGTTTTTTCTCTGCTGTACATTGTTCTTTGTATAATTTCTCGTAAGGACTATCTTAAAACTAGGGGCCCCTCTAAATATTACATTTGGTCTATCTGGGATATGGTCTCTCAAAAGGTCATCTTGTTTAACCCCTTAAGGACCAAACATCTGTAATAAAAAGGAATCATGACATGTCACACATCTCATGTGTCCTTAAGGGGTTAAGGATATGCCAGTGTTTTTTTATAATTTGTTTCAAAATTTTATTCTTGTTGTTAAAATCTAAAATAATAGGTAATTGTGGAGGGTCTTCTTTTTTGGCTTTATATTTCAGAAGCTCTTTTCTCTCCTTCTCCTTAACCACCTCAGGATGGAGTACTGTAGCTCTGCTACAACTCACAAGCCCACATCTCTCTATGGCAGGCCATTATACATCAATGTATATCACCATGCATTCCGGAAACCACATTAACCACTATGCCATTAGCCACCACTGCTCAACATTAGCCATCGCTGTCTACCATTATAATCAATATCTCATAAGAGAGGCAGCTGTTATAACAGCATAGGACGTCCAATTCCATATTAGTGAGATGTCCAACAAGCTCCCACAGGTGTGATGGACCCCACAGAGTATGTCTACCACAAATCCACTTTCAATAACTCATTATGATCAGTCCAAGGATGGCAGCTGCATATCTTTCTTACAGTCACATCTTATCAATATTTACACTTGATAATAGTCACCTGGTCATAATTGTCTTGGCCGTGGAAGAATGGCTCCTTACGAAAGATCATACTGGCCAACATACAGCCCAGGCTCCACATGTCCAGACTGTAGTCATACATCTGTAAATGGCACCACGAGGGAGAGTGAGTGTCTCTACCCACACTTCGTATAACAGACCATTCCACTCCCCACCGGGCTCTGCACACTCACCTGGTAATCCACTAACAGCTCAGGACCTTTGAAGTAACGAGAAGCCACTCGCACATTGTATTCCTGTGCCGGATGGTAAAACTCTGCCAGGCCCCAGTCTATCAACCGGAGCTGAGAGAAAGCAATGTGTTACAGGAGGCAGGGTAAAGAGTAATCCCCGAAAGGGGGAGAAGGTAAAACACCAACTACCTTTTTCTGCTGATGATCAATCATTACATTATGAGGCTTCACATCGCGGTGCATGACCCCCTGGCTGTGGCAGTAATCCAAAGCCTGACACAGAGAAGAAAAATAATCAGAGGAATCCTATACATCAAGGAGCTCAGACTCCCAAACACCACAATGCTAAGCTGCTAATGCTGAGACTCACCTTTAGCAGTTCGTACATGTAAAATCTAATGTCATAGTCTGTGAGGACCTGATAAAGCTGCTGCAAGAGGGAGACAAAACAAAAACAGGGTAAGTGAAATGACAACGCAGGGAATCCCGATTACTTCAATCACATTTACTGCATTCTAAACAAAAACACCAAATGTAATTTACAGAAAATATATAATAATATATATAGTGTGAATATAAAAATGACAAAAAGTCTGTGTCGTCTCTTCCCTTTTCCCTAACTGACTATGTCTAGTGGCAAGCCTGGCAGCAGATAGCACACATGTAGAACCAGATCCATGGATGTGTCTCTACGTGGTTCTCCCAGCCCCCTTTAACTTATTTTATGCCACATACCTTAAAATCCGTGTTATTGATGTATTCAAAGACAAGGGCTGGAGTCTTGGACTGTGCAATAAGAACAAAAAAACAAAAACATTTTCTAGGGCACAACGATACATAAAAAAGATCTGTTAGGAACTGGCAACAAACACCCATCAGAGCTCCTGCTAACTTTACTGGCACCGTTTGGAACATGGTGCCAACACACTGACTTCAGCACACCTGCATGAGAATACTGTGACATAATCCCCGATAATCACAGGATGGAAAACATAAGGTGTTCTCTTTTAATACTCATTTTGGAGGAGTGTAAAGTCGCTTTACATAAATCAAGTGTAGGACAAGATTACCCTAGATTGTGCTTCAATCTGTCTCAGTGACTTCAAACCACAGACAGGGGATGTAATATCGGTTACTGCTGTAAATATCACACAAATACTGGGTATTCAGTCAGCTTCAGTGAGAACATGTTCAGCACATACCCCAGGCTGGATACAGTACTGGGCATCTAATCTAGTGATTTAGCCTTACTGATCTGTAATTACCCCCAGCCTGTATCCAGACATTCAGTAATTGGTCAGTACATGCCAGGGAAATACAGTAATTACATACCACTGGATCCTTGATTGTGTCAAGAAGCCGGATGATGTTGGTGCCACCCCGTAAATTCTCCAGAATTTTAACCTCTCGCTTAATCTTCTTCTTCTTTACTGGCTGCACACAAAGCACAACTTTATATTGACACACAGATTACAAGATGATAGTCCAGCTAAAAATAGCAAAGAGTTCTTGGAAATAAACTCTTGTTTTTAACGTAGACAGGCAGAGGCCCCATTGCAGAAATCTAGGGAAACATTGCGTTCAACGAAGAGGAAAGTAGAAGTATAGATCAGGGTGTTGCAGTGGATGTGATCTTTTTGGATTTTGCCAAGGCATTTGATACAGTTCCACACAATAGACTAGTGTTCAAACTCAAGGAAATCGGTCTAGATGAAAATGCTTGTTCTTGGGTAGAACATTGGCTTAAAACAGAGTACAAAGAGTTGTCATTAATGGTACATTTTCAAGCTGGACAGAGGTGGCAAGTCTCAGGGGTCTGTTCTGGGACCCCTTCTATTTAACATGTTTATAAATGATCTTGAAGACAGCATTGAAAGTCATGTTTCAGTGTTTGCAGATGACACAAAACTTTGTAAAATAATACAATGTGAGCAAGATATTAATTTGCTGCAGAGGGATTTAGATAGACTGGGGGACTGGGCACTCAAAAGGCTTATGAAATTTAATATTGAAAAATGGAAAGTTATGCACTTCGGTGTAAAGAATACACAAGCAACGTATACCCTTAAAGGACCACTATAGGCACCCAGGCCACTTCAGCTTAATGAAGTGGTCTGGGTACCAGGTCCAGCTAGGGTTAACCCTTTTTTTTTTTTTTTATAAACATAGCAGTTTCAGAGAAACTGCTATGTTTATAAATGGGTTAATCCAGCCTCCAGTGGCTGTCTCTTGACAGCCGCTAGAGGGCTTCCGCGCTTCTCACTCTGAAAATCACAGTGAGAAGACGCCAGCGTCCATAGGAAAGCATTGTGAAAGCTTTCCTATGGACTGGCTGAATGCGCGCGCAGCTCCTGCCGCGCATGCGCATTCACCCGAAGAGGAGAAGAGGGAGGAGAGGAGGAGGAGAGCTCCCCGCCCGGCGCTGGAGAAAGAGATAAGTTTAACCCCTTCCTCCCCCCCGTGAGCCAGGCAGGAGGGGGTCCCTGAGGGTGGAGGCACCCTCAGGGCACTATAGTGCCAGGAAAACGAGTATGTTTTCCTGGCACTATAATGGTCCTTTAATGGAAGCGAATTAGGGATAACACACGAAAAGGACTTGGGAATTGTTATAGACAGCAAACTATGCAACAATGTGCAATGTCCATCAGCAGTGGCCAAGGCCAGTAAGGTATTGTCATGCATGAAAAAGGGCATTCATTCTCGAGACGAGAATATCATTTTGCCTCTTTATAAATCACTGGTAAGACCCCATATTGAATATGCTGTGCAATATTGGGCACCTGTTCTAAAGAAGGATATTATGGCACTAGAAAAAGTGCAGAGGCGGGCTACAAAATTAATAAAAGGAATGGAACATATCAGCTATGAAGAAAGGTTAACAAATTTAAACCTATTTAGTTTAGAAAAACGTCGCCTGAGAGGGGATATGATAACATTATACAAATATATTCGGGGCCAGTACAAACCATTGTGTGGAAATCTGTTCACACACAGAACACGAGGTCATGCGTTTAGACTAGAAGAAAGAAGATTTTGACTAAGGCAAAGAAAAGTTTTATTTACTGTAAGAACAATCAGGATGTGGAATTCTCTGCCTGAAGAAGTGGTTTTATGTAGGGTAATAACTGCTTGATCCAAGGATAAATCTGACTGCCATTCTGGGGTCAAGAAGGAATTTTTTCCTAGTTTGTTGCAAAATTGGAAGCGCTTCAGATTGGGTTTTTTGCCTTCTTTTGGATCAACAGCAAAAAACTAATGTGAGGAAGGCTGAACTTGATGGACGCATGTCTCTTTTCAGCTCTGTAACTATGTAACATTTGTTTTCCAATTGGAGAGCTGATTCCAAGCTGTTACTTGATACACACGTTATTGGCAAGGAGGTTCCTTTAAATCTCATTAAACCTGATATTGCACCAATAATAATAATAATAAGTCATTCACTAGAATGTCCATATCAAGGCAGTTGATCAGCAGATATTAAGTCCTATAAGTGTATAACAATTTCACAGTATTTTAAGGAACAGGATACTGAGTCCAGTTATTGGGGATACACATGAACTATATCTCAGAATAGCATTAGACCTTATTAAAACATTGTACATATAATCTATGGCTGTAAGAGGACACAATGTAACTCACATCGTCGCTGCATGGAAGCGATTATAGTCAAAGAATCACTAAAAGCATTTATTCTGAACACTATACGCTATGCGAAAGCTTTGGATTATGGAGCCAGCCAAAACAAATAAAATATAGCTTTTTACTTATTTTTACTCCATTCGAGCGCCAGGATCTGTCCAGCCGCCCCGACTGCGATCAATCATAAGGAGCTATTGCATATCGCAGCAAATCGCCAGTCAGCATCTCGCCATACAGATTCGTTAAGTCAGTGTATCTGTATGGGGAGTGTTCAGCATCTCTAGAGCAGGGAATCGCTGAACGTCATCCCTGCAATCTTTACAGAACTGAAACTCAGGAATGCCCCTCTTGTGACTGTTGGAGTTGTTTAGACAGCAATGTAAACAATCTCTTTTCTCAGAACACTGGTCAGCCAGAAGGCGCAAGTTATGTGGCCCAGAACGAATGCATTAAGCTGTGACACATTTATATCATTTTCCATACCTTAAGGATCTTGACCACAACACGCTCATTGTTTGTGATATTTATGGCTTCAAACACCTCGCTGTACTTGCCGCGACCGAGTTTTCTAACCAGCTGATAATCTTCCTGATTTCTGTGATGAAGAAACAGTTAAAACGTCTGACATTAGTACAACACGTCCTTATAAAGGAATGTGACAATGAGCATGGACCCAAATCTAGAGAGTACTACACACAAGATAGTCCATATCCTCCTGGGAACCAAGGAAAACATTGTCTTCCAATTTCCTTCCATTTCTGATGATAAGGAAGAGAAAGTTCCCAGCATCCCAGGCTATCACACAACTAATCACTGGAAAGGCCAGAATCTCCTCTTTACAATACAGCAGGGATTGATAGAGCAGCTTAAAAGAATAATAGGAGATGCATGTGAAGGAAATGTCCAGTACAGAGGACACAAGATAAAGGGCTGAGTCTCAGGAGGATATTATGGGTCTTCAGGGTGGCAGGGCGTAATGGGAAGCCTATAGTGGGCACAATGGTTGCACATTAGTCAAGAGAAATCTTAAAAACGAAAAAACATCAAAAACACATGGCAATCAAGGAATACACTAGTGGGTAAAAAGAGAATCTCAACAGGACACCAGGACTCAAAAGAGAGATTTAAATACTGTGAGATAAAACACCATAGGTTCGTGTCATTTCAGTGCGTCAAAAAAGTCCCTGAAGAATGAAACACATGTGCTGCAGAAATTTAGGCACACAAAGGACATGGCGCTCATTAGTAGGAATGACTGGTGGACGGAGATGGCAGCACATAAAATGATACCAGAATGTTGTACGGCTGTGCACAAAAACTACGAGATAGGCCCAGCATGTACAACAAACAGCATTCATACATTACCTGCCCACCATCCACACACTGTAACCCCCTCACTGTACTCACTGCCAACTATGCATCAACCAGACACGACCACCACCTCACCATACCCACTGCCAACTATGCATCAGACACTGCTACCCCCTCACTGTACCCGCTGCCAACTATGCATCAGACACTGTTACCCCCTCACTGTACCCGCTGCCAACTATGCATCAACCAGACACTGTAACCCCCTCACTGTACCAACTGCCAACTATGCATCAACCAGACACTGCTACCCCCTCACTGTACCCGCTGCCAACTATGCATCAGACACTGTTACCCCCTCACTGTACCCGCTGCCAACTATGCATCAACCAGACACTGTAACCCCCTCACTGTACCCACTGCCAACTATGCATCAACCAGACACGACCACCACCTCACCATACCCACTGCCAACTATGCATCAACCAGACACTGCTACCCCCTCACTGTACCCACTGCCAACTATGCATCAGACACTGTTACCCCCTCACTGTACCCGCTGCCAACTATGCATCAACCAGACACTGCTACCCCCTCACTGTACTCACTGCCAACTATGCATCAACCAGACACTGTAACCCCCTCTCTGTACTCACTGCCAACTATGCATCAACCAGACACGACCACCACCTCACCATACCCACTGCCAACTATGCATCAACCAGACACTGCTACCCCCTCACTGTACCCGCTGCCAACTATGCATCAACCAGACACTGCTACCCCCTCACTGTACCCGCTGCCAACTATGCATCAACCAGACACTGCTACCCCCTCACTGTACCCGCTGCCAACTATGCATCAACCAGACACAGCTACCCCCTCACTGTACCCGCTGCCAACTATGCATCAACCAGTCACTGCTACCCCCTAACTGTACTCACTGCCAACTATGCATCAACCAGACACTGTAACCCCCTCACTGTACTCACTGCCAACTATGCATCAACCAGACACGACCACCACCTCACCATACCCACTGCCAACTATGCATCAACCAGACACTACTACCCCCTCACTGTACTCACTGCCAACTATGCATCAACCAGACACTGCTACCCCCTCACTGAACTCACTGCCAACTATGCATCAACCAGACACTACTACCCCTCACTGTACTGCTGCCAACTATGCATCAACCAGACACTGCTACCCCCTCACTGTACTCACTGCCAACTATGCATCAACCAGACACTGCTACCCCTTCACTGTACCCACTGCCAACTATGCATCAACCAGACACTGCTACCCCCTGTACCCTGCCAACTGGCATCACAGACACTGCTACCCCTCACTGTACTCACTGCCAACTATGCATCAACCAGACATTGCTACCCCTCATGCTTTCACTGCCAACTATCCCAACCAGACACTACTACCCCTCACTGTACTCACTGCCAACTATGCATCAACCAGACACTGCTACCCCCTCACTGTACCCACTGCCAACTATGCATCAACCAGACACTGCTACCCCCTCACTGTACTCACTGCCAACTATGCATCAACCAGACACTACTACCCCCTCACTGTACCCACTGCCAACTATGCATCAACCAGACACTGCTACCCCCTCACTGTACCCGCTGCCAACTATGCATCAACCAGACACTGCTACCCCCTCACTGTACCCACTGCCAACTATGCATCAACCAGACACGACCACCACCTCACTGTACCCACTGCCAACTATGCATCAACCAGACACTGCTACCCCCTCACTGTACCCGCTGCCAACTATGCATCAACCAGACACTGCTACCCCCTCACTGTACCCACTGCCAACTATGCATCAACCAGACACTGCTACCCCCTCACTGTACTCACTGCCAACTATGCATCAACCAGACACGACCACCACCTCACCATACCCACTGCCAACTATGCATCAACCAGACACTGCTACCTCCTCACTGTACTCACTGCCAACTATGCAACCAGACACTGCTACCCCCTCACTGTACCCACTGCCAACTATGCAACCAGACACTGCTACCCCCTCACTGTACCCGCTGCCAACTATTCAACCAGACACTGCTACCCCCTCACTGTACTCACTGCCAACTATGCATCAACCAGACACTGCTACCCCCTCACTGTACTCACTGCCAACTATGCATCAACCAGACACTACTACCCCCTCACTGTACTCACTGCCAACTATGCATCAACCAGACACTACTACCCCCTCACTGTACCCGCTGCCAACTATGCATCAACCAGACACTACTACCCCCTCACTGTACTCACTGCCAACAATGCACTAACAAGTGGGTACAGTGAGGGGGTAGCAGTGTGTGGTTGATGTATAGTTGGCAGTGGGTTCAGTGAGGGGGTAGCACTGTCTGGTTGGATAGTTGACAGTGGGTAGTAGGGTCTGCTTAGATAGTTGGCAGTGGGTACAGTGAGGGGGTAGTAGTGTCTGGTTGGATAGTTGGCAGTGGGCACAGTGTGGGGGTAGTAGTGCCTGGTGCGATAGTTGGCAGTGGGTACAGTGAGGGGTAGCTGTGTCTGGTTGGATAGTTGGCAGTGGGTACAGTGAGAGGGTAATAGTGTCTGGTTGGATAGTTGGCAGTGGATTTAGTGTTAACAAATGGAGATTTGGTATCAGATGTTACTGTAGGTGAAAGTTTAGGATCCAGTGATCATCAGTCAGTGTGGTTTAATATAAGAACAGTGACTGAGTCACACCACACAAAAACAAAAGTTTTAGACTTTAGAAAAACAGACTTTCTAAAATTAGAATATGGGTAGAGGAGTCATTATCAAACTGGAGCAATTTAAATGGAGTCCAAGAAAAATGGGATTATTTAAAAGTTGCACTATTGAAGGCAACAGAAAATTGCATTAGGCTTGTCAGTAAAAGCAAAAAATTCAAGAAACCACTGTGGTACTCCGCAGATGTGGCCAAAATAGTTAAAACAAAAAGTTAGCATTTAGGAATTATAAAAAAACCCAGAGTGAGGGAGACAAAATGACCTATAAGATTAGGCAGAAAGAGGCTAAGCAAGTTATAAGAGCTTCCAAATCACACACAGAAGAGAAAATAGCACAGTCAGTAAAAAAAGGGGGATAAAACATTTTTTAGATACATAAATGAGAAAAGAAAAGTAAAACAAGGATTAGTTAGATTAAAACAAAAGAAGGAAGGTATGTAGAAGAGGATAAAGGTCAGGCTGACTGCCTCAATGAATATTTTTGTTCTGTATTTACAGAAGAAAATGAAGGAAAGGGACCTCAGTTGAGAAAAAGGATAAATGAGTCATTTATTACACGCGAGTTTACAGAGGAAGAGGTTCTATTTCAACTGTCAAAAGTAAAGACAAATAAGTCAATGGGATCTGATGGAATACACCCAAAGCTATTAAAAGAGCTTAGTGGTGTACTAGCAAAACCATTAACAGATTTATTTAACCAATCATTGTTAACAGGAGTAGTCCCAGAAGATTGGAAGTTAGCGAATGTTGTGCCCATTTACAAGAAAGGTAATAGGGAGGGGTCGGGCAACTATAGGCCAGTAAGCCTTACTTCAGTAGTGGGGAAAGTGATGGAAACCATGTTAAAGGATAGGATTGATGAACATCTAAAACACATGGATTTCAAGATCAGAGACAACATGGGTTTACTTCAGGGAGATCATGCCAAACTAATCTTATTGATTTTTTTGATTGGGTAACTAAAATTATAGATCAGGGTGGTGCAGTAGACATTGCTTACCTAGATTTCAGTAAGGCTTTTGACACTGTTGCACATAGAAGGCTTATCAATAAACTGCAATCTTTAAGTTTGGATTCAAATATTGTTGAATGGGAAAGGCAGTGGCTGAGTGACAGGCAACAGAGGGTTGTAGTTAATGGAATATATTCGAAGCTTGGACTTGTCACCAGTGGGGTACCTCAGGGATCTGTACTTGGACCCATTCTCTTTAATATTTTTATTAGTGATATTGCAGAAGGTCTTGATGGTAAGGTATGTCTTTTTGCTGATGATACTAAGATATGTAACAGGGTTGATGTTCCAGGAGGGATAAGCCAAATGACAAATGATTTAGGTAAACTAGAAAAATGGTCAGAATTGTGGCAACTGACATTTAATGTGCATAAGTGCAAGATAATGCATCTTGGACGTAAAAACCCAAGGACAGAGTACAGAATATTTGATAGAGTTCTAACCTCAACATATAAGGAAAGGGATTTAGGGGTGATTATTTCTGATGACTTAAAGGTAGGCAGACAATGTAATAGAGCAGCAGGAAATGCTAGCAGAATGCTTGGTTGTATAGGGAGAGGTATTAGCAGTAGAAAGAGGGAAGTGCTCATGCCATTGTACAGAACACTGGTGAGACCTCACTTGGAGTATTGTACACAGTACTGGAGACCGTATCTTCAGAAGGATATTGATACCTTAGAGAGGGTTCAGAGAAGGGCTACTAAACTGGTTCATGGATTGCGGGATAAAACTTACCAGGAAAGGTTAAAGGATCTTAACATGTATAGCTTGGAGGAAAGACGAGACAGGGGGGATATGATAGAAACATTTAAATATATAAAGGGAATCAACACAGTAAAGGAGGAGACTATATTTAAAAGAAGAAAAACTATCACAACAAGAGGACATAGTCTTAAATTAGAGGGACAAAGGTTTAAAAATAATATCAGGAAGTATTACTTTACTGAGAGGGTAGTGGATGCATGGAATAGCCTTCCAGCTGAAGTGGTAGAGGTTAACACAGTAAAGGAGTTTAAGCATGCGTGGGATAGGCATAAGGCTATCCTAACTATAAGATAAGGCTAGGGACTAATGAAAGTTTTTAGAAAATTGGGCAGACTAGATGGGCCGAATGGTTCTTATCTGCCGTCACATTCTATGTTTCTATGTTTCTATGTTTCTAATTTGCAATAAACAAATTTAATTAGTAATTATGCTAATCATTTATACACGACTGCCGGGTAGTATTACATAGCCTTGCAGTCGTGTATACATTACTGCCAATATGTGTATTTCTGAGTGTATCTGGCATTGTCTACCTGTGTATGTGCATGAAAGTGTGTGTCTGACCAAGAGTATCCTTGTGTGTGAATGTATGTGTTTATGAGTATGTGTCTGGGACCGTATGTGTGTGGGGTGTGTGGTGTTTATGGGGGCTGCCTGTGACCTTTGTGCATGATGAATGTATTCAGTTTGTGACTGTGACAAGGTGAGTAAAGGGGTAACTGTGGCAGGGTGAGTGTGACAGGGTAAGGGGGGTAAATGAGACAGGGTTGGGGGCATGAGTGTAACAGAACAGGGGGTAGGGAGATATAGTGGCAGTAACAGAGGGTGGGGGGATGGAGGGGAAGTAACAGGGGATGTAGGATGGAGGGGCAGTAACAGGGGATGGGGTTGATTGCCAGTAACAGGGGATGGGGGGTGGAAGGGCAGTGACAGAGGGTAGGGGGCTGGAGGTGCAGTTTCAGGGGATAGAGGGGTAGTAACAGGATGTAGTGGGAGGGGCACGGACAGGGGGCAGGTGGTGGAGGGGCAGTGACAGTGGGTAGGGGGGTGGAGGAACAATAACAGGGGGTAAGGGGATGGAGGGGCTGTGACAGGGGAGGGGGTTCATAAATACCTTCCCTGGTGGTCCAGTGGGCGCCCTCTCTCCCCGGTCGTCCGGCTCTCTGGTCTGCAGCTCGGCCGGGAATGAGCTGCAGACCACGTTGTAAATCTCGCAATCTCCAGTCAGAGCGTTGCTGTGGTAACCTGCTGCAACACTCTTACAGGCAGGAGATCGCGAGACTCTTTAGTCTGCAGATCACTCCCAGTGGAACTGCAGAGAGGTGGCTGGCTCTCTCCCGGGCAGACTGACTGGAGGGGCCTCGCACCCGGCGGCATTATGGGCAAGCTGCCGGGCCCCCTCCTGTGTTGAGTCCTCGGTCTCTGACTGAGGACCTGACATGGTAGTCTGCCTTAAGGTGATTTAGGCGGCCGCAAGGCCCCCATCGTCGCAAGGCCTTAGGCGGCTGCCTTAATCACCTAATTAGAGAACCGCCTCTGACTGTTGTATAGGATAATTTTCACTTAAAAAGCATAACTCACAAACAATAATATAAAAAATAAAACACATGAACAAACAGTGTAATAAATATAGACAAAGTGCAAAGTGTTGAGTCACTCCATACAACACACAGTGTAATCCCGAATAAAATAAAATAAAAGACTATTGAGAGAACTCAACAAATTATCAATCAAAATAGAATGTTACAACCTCTGTGAACCATACAACAATCTTAGAGTTTAAATACAAAAATTGATCAATATGTGGTATATAAAATATATATAAAATAATATAAAAAATATCATATATAAAATAGACAGTGGTTAAGTTGTCCCACTCACATGCTGCTGACCTCTATACAGCAGGCTCAGATGTTTAAAGTGCCAATGGATGTTGAGATGTTGTGTCCACTGATTTTGTATTGATATGTAAAACCATAGAATTCAAAGAGGGTGTAGTTTCTTTTTCCCATGACTGGGATTTACATGTGCAATATATTTAAAATAATAATTGCTGTGTAAATATGTTTAATATGTGTGTGTGTAATCAGTATGAAAGAAAATATACATGTAATGTATGTGAAGGCATTTTTTTTTTTGTATTTTGTGTAATACATACATGTGAATCATAATGTATAATGGATGTTATTCATATATAGGTATTATGTATGTAAATGAATGTATGAATTTCATTTGTGAAATTAGGTTGTATAGGTTGTATATAAGTGAGGTTGTATATGAGTAAAGCCAGTGTTTTTGTATAGTCTGTTTTTTGTGTAAAATATGTGTATTTGTAATGTGTAAAAATCATGTGTATAACGTTTTCATGATACATGCACGTGTGTCATACATGTGTTATGTGTGTAATGTGTATAGTGCATGTGCAACATGTTTGTTAACTGTCTGTTTAGTGTTAAGTGAGAGTTTCATAATAATATGTATGTAGTATATGTAATAATATGTGTAGTGCCAAAAAATAACCAACAGATGTCCACTTGCTGTACAACAGTACACACAGCCACATTAATATTCTCTTTTCTAAAAATTTAAAATTCTGATAAAAAAAACAAAAACAACAATGATACTGGACTAAAAGGATTAAAATGACATAATTATCGTAACTAGGCAAAAGAAGAAAGTAAGTTTGTGGCAGTAAAAGTACTCAAGGAAAAACTAATTAAATAATAATCTGTGTTTACTAAATTTATGGCTAGTAATGAGATGAATTCATGGCAAAATATTTAAGGCATAAAAATCAATTATACATGAATA